TTTATTTATTTATTTATTTATTTATTTATTTATGTATTTATTTATTTATTTATTTTATAGTCTATGAAGGTTAATTTTCAGTTAAGCTGACTCAGCTCTATCGTGCGATAGATATCGCTTGGCATACATTTCATGAAGTTCAGAGTTCAAATCCGAAAAACGTGAGTTCAGGGTATTTATCTGTCGATATGTCAATGTTAAGCTAAAATTGTTTGCATTTTGTTTACTCAAAATATTTAAAATGCCTTAAAAGATCTCACAAAGCATTTGCATCAATTATTTGTACTAAATCGCCAGATTTATATTATTACATAATTGTTATGCTACTTTATTGCCCATTTCCAATGGGTCCCCTCCCTCCGTTGGCCGCACGCTGTGCTTGGCTTACAATTGTGAATTTCATAACTTTATTAATACATTTGTCCATTGTCTGCTTTATCGAGTCGCATTCAGGCGCGACAAAAGACACCAAAGCCCACAAAAAGACCCAGCCCAACCCATAAAATCCCAAAAGTGGGGAGAGCCGCGAAGGTCTGGGGCTACCGGTGTTCAGTCAACTTGCGGTTGTTGCTATTGTTGTTGACCCTACCTCCCCCCGTCCCATGCAACAACAGTCCAAACTAAAGAAATTCCAATTAATGAAAATACAATAACAAAACAGCTAAACAAAAGAAGGGCGTGTAAATTGGTTTAGGGTAGAAGTTCAGGTGAGATTTTTATTATTATTTTTTATTATTGTTTGCACTTGGCCAAAAAAAAAACAGCAGCACGTGTTTTATTTAACTTGAAATCTGTTGAGATATACTCTTTGAAGGGTGTTGTAATTGTGAATAAAAATAGAATAAGAAAACTTTTTTTAGGATCTACCGGGTTATATGCCCTATCATATATAATATACTTAATTAAATTTTAATAACAAAACTAATAATAAAAAAAAAATACTAAAAAATAATAACAAAGATTCAATTATTAAGAAAATATTGTAAAAATTAAAATACAAATTAATATAAAAAATTTATTAATAATATATAGAACAATTATATTATATTATATTATATTATGCTTACCAAAAAAAAAAATAGGTTGGTAACTAGTAGAATAAACACCTTTCTTTAATTCTGAAAGTAGGTCAACATTCCAAGTTAAACTATTTAAGACTAGAATTATACGCAATTAAGAGAATTCGTCGGAAACGATCCATGAAAGAGATTTCTTTGATCGTAATAAAAAGAACAAATGATCCATGTTTAACATTTTGCTAATCTCACCAACTAAATATTAATCTTTATTTTATATAATTAATTTTTCATAACAAGAAGCACGGAAGGAGATCTCTAACTCGCATAGATACGATCCAAAGCAATATGAATTTTTGCTCATCCAACTTAATAACTGAACGTATTCGTCTAGCTTATCTGCCCAGCACAACTATTAATCTAAATGAATTCTGTAGAAAAAATTGATTTCTACAAGGGTCAAGTTGGGCATAGAAATATCTAAGGCATAGCAGAGGACCGTCATTTATTATAAAACTAGCATTGAAATGATCTTTAGACTCTATAATATTCATAAATGATTTCATTTGTTAGACAAATTATATTATATTTTATATTTATATTATTTATTCATTAATATTTTTGGAATATCAAAGAAATATTATACATTTACATTCTTATTTAGCTACCCATCCAAGCCGACTTTTAGATTCTTTATCTCTGTGTATGTGAAAGTGTATTAGCACCTTCGGCTTTTCCAATCTCAGCATTCCATTTTCATAATTACCTCATTTGGCTGATGGCCATGCTGACTTTTCACTGCAGTCAACCAATTTGGGTCATTAGCAAGTGTTTTGTCATACGCCATTGTTATTGGCTTTTATTGTGGCAACCACCCACCTGCCAGCCATCCCGCTGGCGTTAGCCGAAAAAATGTTGGCCAAAGTGTGGAAAATTTAATTAACAGCTAAATGAAA